GTTTTGCCTTACTTTTAGGTGGTTTTAGGTCATTCCATGTTTTAGTGCGTACGCGATACTTACAAAGCTCAATGAAATCGTGAAAATGTGAAATAAAGTAAAGAAACCTTAACTGACCTTTTTTTTTTTTCGCTCACTGCTCAAAAATATAAATGACGTTCTCAACCTTGGCCGGCAAGATGTAGCCTACGTGCAGCCGTTTATCTACGGTTATTAGAGAGTTTTAGATTGACCTTTTTTTCTCCCCGCAAACGGCAAACGTGACCACGTTTTCATCGTTTTCCTGTATTTTATTTTACCTTTTACAAACCTTCTCACCAAGCGCAAATACTCAGTAATTTAAAAGAATATTTTACTGGTCAACTGACGTTTCACGTTTGCCGTGAACGTAAATCTAAAACTCTATTACGGAGAAATAAACGGCTACACGCAGGCTAGCAAGATGTTACGGTCTAAATTTTTAAGAGCTAAACTTTCTTAAAATTCATTATGAGACCGTAAATGATGTAATTTAAAATCGATAACTGATCAGTACGGATTGCGAAACGCCATTGACCCTGTAGTTTTTTTTTGTTTTTTTTCCGTAAATTCCAAAAATATGTCGAGCAAGCACACTGACCTACGAATAAAATATCGAGCAAACGTCAAAATGTTTTTAAAAAAATGCGTGGGGACGATTGTTACAAAAAATATTTWAAAAATATTWWAAAAAATGGTGCAGAATAAATTCCTAAAACCTCTTCYTCAATTATCTAATTATACTCATATTTTCTGAACTTGGTATTTCAATAACTGAGTTAGAGGTCTAAAACCATGAAATAAAAACAAAGTTGATACTGACAAATAGTAGCTATTTAGTGACTAATAGTTGCTATCACTCAACCAGAACATTTATTAAACAAAAGACACAAATGGTCTCTTGTGTATTTGTCTTCGTATGATGAATGTTCTGGTTGAGTGATAGCAACTATTAGTCACTAAATAGTGCTATTTGTCAGTATCAACTTTGTTTTTATTTCATGGTTTTACTGCATGGGCTCTATAAGAATCGAACTAACTCTCTTTTAGTCTGTGTACAGTAGCTTCTCACCCCTCTCCCCACCCCTGCGGAACATGTACACAGGAGTAAAAACACTTCCAGACTAGAATTATATCAGAATTTCGTATGCATGCCTTCCCGGCACTGTCATCCACTCACGTACAAGGTCACGGTCAAGCTCACGGAACGTTTAGGAATTTGATGTTGCAAATTTTTGTTGTTGCTAACAACCACTGCAGGCAATTTTCTTTTGTGTTTGCTCAATGCTCCTTTAGTGAAARGAGAAGTTGCGCGATATTTGAAGTGCTAAGTGATTTTTTTTTTGAATTTAATCAAACCATCCCTAAGAATGTTTTCTTTTTAGTAGGAATCATACACGCTTCTTACGCGCTACGACATGCTGTGACATTGGAATAGCTTCCCATAATCGTACCGTACTGACAGACATAACGAAGTGCTTTGCTTGATATTTTTTTCGTAACCCCCCTTCTAATGGTCCGTCCCTAAARGGACATCCACTTGAAACATTCACAGAACGAGAGATTAAATTTGTCCAATCACAATACTGAGTYACGGCACGGTACGCCGTACTATATATAGAATTTTATAGCCTGMGTTGCGACCCTACGCAACTTAAGATTTTTATTTTAAAAATAATAAAGGTTGATATATTTTTTAATAGATTGTGTTTCGTTTACAGTAATGATTTAACATACAGAAGAGATAACTAGCTAAAAACTAGTGTGAGCTACGTCGGTGTTTCTACTGAAACAGTAATGATAAAAGGGTAAATTATACACCGTGAAAAGATGAAAAAACTTACTGACGTTAGTCCTTCGTCGGAGTAAAAGATTTAACATACAGTTTGTCTTTCGAGAGACGGTTTGCAGAAAAGTGGCATGAAATACAGGAAAACGTGGTCATGTTTGCCGTTTGCGGGAAGAAAAAAAAAAACGTCAATAAGATCTCTAATGTCACGTTCAAAATCCACATTTTTCTGGAGCCATGTGTTTCGACTTCCGTTCTGTAGTTTTACTTCCTTTCAGAGCGTAGTTGACTGTGCTCACAGATAACTATTGTTATCAAGTTGGGGAAAAGGTTTCCGGTCGTACGTGCGCACGTGGAGAAATTCTATAAATACTCTTCAGTCAGGTCAGTGCTCAGTCCATCGACCTCATTATATATTGATCGACTTACGGTAAAGCAAGGTAAGTATGTCAGTTCTTATAACATGAAAGTCACTACAATATTAAGATCTTAGAGTGATTTTAGTCGTACGAGTGGGAAATGATAATATATATGGGGGACATAAAAGAACCTGTTGAATCATTCGTGTAAGAGTAGGGGATTGTCTCCCGGTTCAACAGCCTATCCCAATTTGGAGGCATTAATACTAACTTACTAACAAATCACTCATGATTGTAAGCTGCACGGCTGCTACTGGCGCCTAAATACGCAGCCCGTAAAGTCCTCCCTTGGTCATCATTGTGAAGCACATTGAGATCATGTAAGATGCACTTTATAAGAACCCCGTTATTTTATTTTTTTATTTTTAATATGGCAAATTCGTAGCCGTACCGTATGGGCCGCCATCACCACCAAAAATACACATACGTTGAACAGATTAGCTATAGATATCGAATAGCTTGGTTATGATCGGAACT